TAATATCTGTGTATGTGTGTGTGTGTGTGTGTGGTGTGTAGTATGTGCTCTGCATAAGGGTCTTTAGTTAAACAATACCTTCAACCATAGGTAAAGTATTTTTTCTCATAAAGTGGAGGTGCTCCTAAATCATATCATTTTGAGAGAATATGGTATCCTGGCAGCTACTCATTGCTTGGTTTTAATTGTATCACCAATGAAGGGCCTTGCTCTATAAGGATATCTGAAGCTGTATTTCATGAAGTGTTTGAGGCCTAATTTTATATGTGCTTCTGGGAAAAATTGCATTGTTTTTAATGTATTAATTAGATATTGATGTGATAATTAGAGTTACTGAGATGATGAGAACCATATCAAGGCTATCTGGAGTGAATGTTCAAAGTTGAAAGGACTAGAGCAGTGATGGCGAACCTATGACACGCGTGTCAGAGGTGACACGCGAACTCATTTTTTTGGTTGATTTTTCTTTGTTAAATGGCATTTAAATATATAAAATAAATATCAAAAATATAAATCTTTGTTTTATTATGGTTGCAAATATCAAAAAATTTCTATATGTGACACGGCACCAGAGTTAAGTTAGGGTTTTTCAAAATGCTGACACGCCGAGCTCAAAAGGTTCGCCATCACTGGACTAGAGCATGCGTGACTTGGCAATAACTTTTCCTTTAAAAAAAGAAAAATAACTGAGTATTTTTTTTGCCAAACACTCCACTAAACACTTCATATGTTATCTCCTTTGACCTTTATAAGGGTTTATGGTATTATCATCTCTATATTATTGATGAATGAGTAAAATGGAAGCTTGGGGAGATAAAAGTAGCTTGCCTAAGGTTGCATGCCTAGTGAGTGGGAGAGCCAAGATTTGGACTTGGGCAGTCTGAGGCCGGAGCTCATGACCTTTACCATTTTACTATATGGCCTCTCTCTTTACCTAAGAAGGAACCACGGACACTTCTGATGGCATTGGAAGGTGTAGTTGAGGGCCCAGGATGTCCTAGATACTGATATAACATTTCAGAAGCCTAGCACAGGAGATGAGTTGTAGAAGAGAGGCAGAAGAGGGGGTTTATCATGATGAAGGTAAAAGTGAAGCATATAACATGTGGGATAGTGGAGGATTTAATAAACCACATAGGCCTTTGTTTCTTTCTGCTTATTGAAGAGATCTAGAAAACAGAGTATGTGACTTAGAAGATAGTTGACTTTGTTGTTTGCATTTATAGCATCCAAAAGTTGTCTTTTCCTATCCTTACTTATTTAGAGATTAAGTATTTACTAGGTGATCATATGCTTATGGGTGAACTGCACTCTTTCTTTTTAAAAAAGAGGTAGAATTATTCCAGCAACAGAGGTCCTTGTACCTTTTGGGAAATCATCCCAGTGGCAAAGAAAGCATAATGGGATTTTTCTTGGCCTGCTTTGTGGAAGTTGTCTGATATGCATGTCTATCTTCAGCCAACTCAGAAAACTCTCTGCTTCTTTATTGTCTTTCCATTTCAGAAGGGCGGCTCAGCAATAGAAATTGCTGGGAATGCCTTTGGTAAAATATTGAGGTTTCCTTTCTCAAGAAAGACAGAGCATGGAGAAATTCACCTGTCCATGGACTGCTTATTTTTCAGTTCTCTGCATTTACATTGCTGTACTTTACCATTAATACAAGAACTGCATGCTATCTAACTTTAATTGCCTTTAAGTATAACTGCTGTAAGCCTCAGTAATTATAGTTAACATTCTCTGCATTAACATTGCATTGCTCCCCTAAGGTTTTCAGAGCAGTTCACAAATAAATGCATTCAACTTTAAGTAGCTCATGAGGATTATAGAACCCAAAAGGTGAAGTATAGAGGATATTTTCTGCTTCCTAATTATTCAAAGCTTAGCAAATAGGAAGGCAGGGGCACCCATGGCTTAAAGGTCTTCAGTGCCCTAGTCTAGTCAGTGTTGTTATAAGTAAATAGTCATGTATCCAAGGAAAGAAAGGTTTAAGCTTATTGAAGCAAAGAGAATGATGATTTTTATTTGTTTCTTTTATTTCTTAGGCAAAGGTCTAATGAATACACACATCTAGATTTATAGCTCGCGTCATCTGGTTTATAAGGTTAGATTGAACCAGGCCTTGAAATAAAAGGAAATGTCAAGAACATATAGAAAAAAATTTAGTCTTTTCTTATTCACTGAGGCAAAACATACTACGTGTCTGGTAGGAAAATATAACATGGTTTTTTTTTCTACCTAGAGAAAGTTCAATTCCAATTTGTAGAAAAGGCTATTATAAGACAGGAGAATTTCCCCACTAGCACAAGCCATTGGCATCTGACTGGACATTTCAGATAGCAATTATTTGGACTCATTACCATTAAGGAGTTACCTGGTTTCTACAATGGGATAGTCAGGTTATGCTCGCTTGGCCCCAGCTAAGTGGGTACGAGCAATGCTGGTAGAATGGGTAACCTCTTACGTTGAAACTGTCTGCCTAGGTAGTTCAAGGGCTTGGGAATTTGTTGAGAAGTTAGTTTAGTTGAATTCTTGAATTTCCTTTTGACCAAGTTATTAATGTTTTCATATTTAAATAATAATAATGAAAGTATCCCTAACCTCAGCCTCCATGAAAATGATGGACAATTTGGAAAAAATTTCTGCTTTATAGAGAGTCTATAGGTTGATTTTATTAGCAAGAAAGGCATTCTAAAAGTAGTATGAAAAGCATAATCTGCTCATTTACTAACAAATTTGGAAGGATGTACTTTTTCTATTTTTTTAGTTGTTGAAGGTATGTACACCTTCTTTAAAGAGAGTATTTCCTCATTCCTTCATTCCCATGGAGTCAGGACTTGACTTTTAAGTTGCAAGGGTACAAGAATTTAAATTTGTTAGTCCCAGCCTACTCCTACCTTTGCTTTGGGATATGGCTCATAGCCTTTCAGAGAGGAAGAGGCGTTTGACTTATTTAGTTTTATATTTGATTCATTAGTTTGAGTGTTTAGGGATCTTTAAAGGTCTCCCCCCAAAAGTTGAGAGATTACAGTCCAATATTATCAATTCAAACTCATGAGTGAGGCAGAAATTGCACACACTCTCTGTTCCTTTAATAAAAGGTAATTTCCAGGACTGTGGGCTTCAAACAGACAATTATGGACTCCTTGTACCTTCAGCAATTGACCTGCATAAAGGGAGACAGCTTCCTTTCCATGCCAAATTAAGCTTTTTCCCCCTGGAGAGCCCCCCTATTTTTTAGCATTTCTCTATTGTAATGACCAAAGTAAGATATACCTTCCCCCAGTATTTCCCAGTTTAGAGTGAAGAAGAGCAGAGGTGAGGACATCCAAAAACAGGAATTTTAAGAGCTTGCCATCTACTATTACTTCCACCGTAGAGTCTGTCTGATTTTACTCATGGAAATAGATTTGGGGAAGACCTAGAGATAGGGAGGAGGGAAGGAGATTACAAAGGGGCTTCTAATTCCTGTCATTTATTGCATTCTCAGTATGATAAATGCCAGGCAGCCTGCTATTCATCATGAAGAACCTTCTCACAATGTACTTATTTTTAAAGTTGGAAGAGAGCTAAACAGGGCTGGGTTGTGGGGGAGTGCATAACTGATCTTGTTATCTTTCCTTCAACCTGTCTCAACCTGATTTTTCAGCTGAAAAAGAAGCAGGTGTATGTAGATAAGGTGGAGAAGATGCAGCAGGCCCTTGTACAGCTCCAGGCAGCATGTGAAAAGCGTGAGCAGCTGGAACACCGTCTCCGGACAAGACTGGAGAGAGAACTGGAATCCCTCAGAATTCAACAGGTTGGTGAACTTAAAAGAAAAGGAGTATTCCTGACTGCTTATTTTTCCCTTGGTGTTTGACATGAAGACAAAAACAAACTCATGCTCATCTTTAGGATTTTTGCCTCACCCGATCTTACTCCAGAGTACCTCTTAATTGTAAAGGCAAAGCTTGCTTACTTAGCTTCCTATCACAGCAAAATCCTTAATGCCTATTATCTTGCACCTTTTATTTTTCACATGAACCCCAGAAGCAGTAGACCCAACAAGAAGTGAAGATGCTATAAAAGTAGATTCCTAATCATTTTCGAATTGGAAATGGTCTTTAGAATTATCAGACCATACACCTCATTTTTACATGAAAGTAAATCAAGACCTAGAAAAAGTTGCATGACTTATTGAAAGCCAAACAACAAGTTAGGGGCAAGGTAAAAACCAAAGCCTAGATTTGTGATTCCAGTTTTAATCATCTACCATGCAGGCAGGCAAGCATGGTGGTTTGTAAAACATTTATCCACTTTCTGAGCAGCATGACAATTTGATGTGGCACGCTCCTTCCTTGATCAAGGGAGTCTCAGATTCAAGCCCAAAATAGACAATCCTGTGGCCTTAGGAGGAAATCTGAATTCCTTTTTGCTTCAGAATCAGAATCCAAACTAAAGTGGCTTGGGCAGTAATTCTTTCCAAATATAGAGACTCTTCAAATGGGACTTGGCTACCACACTTCTTTTCCTACTAATCTGAGGGGTGTCGGCATCTCCCCCAACAGCGCCAGGGCAGCTCTCAGCCCACCAACGTTTCGGAATACAATGCTGCTGCACTGATGGAGCTCCTTCGTGAAAAGGAGGAACGGATCCTGGCCCTGGAAGCTGATATGACTAAGTGGGAACAAAAGTACTTAGAGGAGAACGTGATGAGACATTTTGCTCTGGATGCTGCTGCAACTGTAGCTGCTCAGAGGTAACTACTTGGCTGGTACAGTCACTCCTTGAAGGGCATGGGGCTGGGGGTAGAACAAAAAGGTGACTAATTAATAGATTTTCCAGTGTGTTCTTTTTTTTTCTCTAATGTTCTCCACCCCTCCTACTTTCTACTTAAGTGTGTTTTCTTTCATCTGGTTATGCAGGGACTGAATGACTGTGGGGGCACAGGATCAGGGATTTGAAAATGAAAGTTACTTATAAACTTATTGGAATCATAGTTCAGCTTTCCTCAGAAGCCAGAACAATCACAGATGGAATCAGCTGAACCATTTGCACACCTACATCGCCAGAGCCACAGTGTCTTTCAGCCAGATGTGTAGGTTTCTTTGTTTAGCCCCCAAGCTGGAGTGAAAGACTTTCCAGCAAAATGCACTCCGAAACTAAATGTCACTCAGGAGTGGCTGCTGCCATTTGATACCTCTGGCTTGTCCAAGGTATGCCAAAGGCTATGCTTGACATGAACCCACCCTGCCCTTTGAGAAGGTCTATATTTGAAGAATACATTCTCTGTGTCCATGAGTCTATCACATGTAAGCAGTCACGTTCTACTTGATAAGGGAACGTGGCTGGAGGATTTTAAAAATGTTTCAGCTTATTTGTTCCCCTTTTCACATTATAAACAGTAATTTTTTGATCTTTGGAGGAAACTGTTCTTATCCAGTTTGTTGGCTCTCTGCTAGTCATACTCATCATTTGGGAAAAAATGAAACAATGACAGAACTAAATTCGTGCTCGGCCGGTGTGATTCAATGGTTGAGTATTGACCCATGAACCAAGAGGTCACTGGTTCGATTCCTTGTCGGGGCACATGCTCAGGTTTCGGGCTCAATCCCCAGTAGGGGGCATGCAGAAAGCAGACGATCGATGATGTTTCTCTCATCAATGTTTCTATCTCTCTATCCCTCTCCCTTCCTATCTCTCTAAAAATCAATAAAAATGTATTCCAAAAACACACACAAAAACACTAAATTCAAATAATGAGATGACGTGTGTTGTGGAGATACAGGCAGAGCCTTGATCTGGAGCTGGGTATTCAAGGTGGCCTATAGCATATTGCACCCAGCACAGTCTCTATCCAGAAAGTTATTAAGAACCACAGTGTTGTTTTTAAGATTCTCCTAAACATGGTGAACTGGAAGAGTCTGGAAGCGTTTGCCACACTTTGAGCTGGAGTGTTTATGTGGAGGGGCCAGTTGATACCTTTAGTTTTGAGTCTTTCTGCTGCTAAATCAGAGGGAGTTCAATGCTTAAGAGCTGGACTGGTGGTTTGTAAACCTATTTCCAATTCTCTAGGAAGACATTTTATGTTTCTCTGCCTGCCTCCTGGTGTCCTCTATAAACCTTAGCAGTGGTTCTCAACCTTCTGGCCCTTTAAATACAGTTCCTCATGTTGTGACCCAACCATAAAATTATTTTTGTTGCTACTTCATAGCTGTAATGTTGCTACTGTTATGAATCATAATGTGAATATCTTATATGCAGGATGGTCTTAGGCGACCTCTGTGAAAGGGTCGTTCGACCGCCAAAGAGGTAGCGACCCACAGGTTGAGAACAGCTGCCTTAAAGCGATTAGAATCGCCTGTGTTTGGACTTTGAATTCCTCATGGGCTTAAGCTTACTTGTTTTTGTTTTCTGAGAAGTGTGCTCAGTACATGCCAGTGTAGTGATAGAGTGCACAGACACTCCAGCTGTGCTACTCGGATGGCCGAGAACTTTGTAGATTAGAAGCAGAATTAATTCTAAGTTTAGCTCCACGCTCCCAAGAAAACACCTGTGCCCAGCACTTGTTCAGAATTTATTCAGGAAACCATAGCACTGTAAAGGAGATGCAAGGTAATTTTGTTGTCTTTGCGCATAAACTTAGAAAGATACAGCTCATGAAGGTATGCAGTGTGGGAAAATGTTAGAAAGCCAGGGTTCTTGGTACTGGGAAGTTCATTGCTGAAACTGACTGCAGAATAAGACTCTAGGTCAAGATGCAGGATAGTAAGGAAGTTGTCACTGAGTAGCGTTCCATGGTATGGATTTACCACAGTTGTTTATCCATTCACTTGATAATGGATATTTGGATTATTTCCAGTGTTTAGCCTTTGTGAAAAATAAAATACAGAATTTTAACGTAAGACTAGACAACTATCTCTCCTCAAGTTAGAAGACATATTTAATAAGTAATAATACCTATTTCATCATCTTTGAAATCATGATATCTGGGAGGCAGCATAGTACAGAGATTAAAGTGTCAAAAATGTAGATTAAATCCTGATTTCTTCTGCCTCTTAGTAGCTGTGTGTGATCTTGGGATTTCTTCTGCCTCTTAGTAGCTGTGTGTGATCTTGGGATTTCTTCTGCCTCTTAGTAGCTGTGTGTGATCTTGGGAAAACTATTTATACTGTGCCTCTATTTGTATTCCTTCCAGCATTTTGATTCTATGAAACACCTCTTGTCGAAGTGAAAGATGTCAATGCAAGAAATCACATTGAGTATTTAATGTATAAGATACTCTTCTAAGCACTTTAAAATTATTGATCATCCTCACAATAATTCTTTCAGATAAGTACTATTATCTATTATACAGATAAGGAAACTGAGGCACAGTGTAAACAGTTTGCCCAAGATCACACACAGCTACTATGAGGCAGGAGAATCAGGATTTAAATCTACATTTTTGACACCTAGCCACTATACTCTGCTACCTCCCAGATATCATGATTTCAAAGATGATGAAATAGGGATTATTACCTGTTCAAGAGTTACTACCAGTATTTGAGGCTTATTATTTACTCACTTAGAAATATTATAAATAACCCTGGCCGGTGTGGCTCAGTTGGTTGAGCGTCATCCAGTGCCCTGAAGGGTCACTGGTTCAGTTTCCGGTCAGGGCACACACCTGGGTTGTGGGTTTGATCCCCGGTTAGGGTGCATACAGGGCAATTGATCAATGTTTCTCTCTCCATCTCCCTTCCCCTTTCTCTAAAAATCAATAAAAACACATTATCAGGTGAGGACTAAAAAGTATTATAAATAATCACACTAATAGGGCCTATATTATAATTTCATACTTTTGTGTCCCTAGAGATTGATTCCTCTCTAGATGCTTAATATAGATGAGGAAAATTACCACGTAGGAATTCAATCCCAGAAGAACCCATTTAGCAGTGCAGTTGGTAAATTATTTCTGAAGAGCAGCGAAAGGATAAAAAGATAAAACACCTGATCAACCTCTCAGAATGTGCAAGTTTCATTCTTATTTTGGGCAAAGTAAATCTGGGAAAGAAGGAAGAAAGGGAAGCAGGAGATAGAAGCTGGTCACACACATTACATATGTCTACCTTTTCCTTCATTGTAGGCCTTTCTCAGTTTCCATCCTCAGTTTTCTTCCCATTCTACATTGTCTTATTTTGTTCTGTATTACAGCTTCAAGTAGTAACTCCGACATCTCTAAAATTAAAGTTAGAAATTTCAACAACTTGTTGGATATTGTTATATGGCTATTTGTAAAACACTTTACCTCCAATGTAATTAAAATAAAAATCCATTATATTGTGTTTTGGGGGAAAAAAATCTCTCCTCCATTTTCTGTCTTAGAAAATGAGTGGTATGTCATCTCTTCTAGTCATTTGAATTAGAAACAACAAAGTTCTCATTCATTCTTCCCTCACCTTAACACACAGATTTAAGCATTCGCCAAGTTCTAGCAATTCTGCCTTCTATAGTCTGTTTCCATTTCCCTTGCCATTTCACTGGTTCCTGTTTTCATTATATCTTGCTGGGATTATTTCAATATAACCTTTCTGACTGGTCTGCCTGTGTCTAGTATTATTGCTCCTCTAATCCCTCCATCACATTTCAGTAAGAGAAAGCTATTGTCCTAACACACAGCTGGGATCATTGCAATCCTCTCAAAAAGCTCTAATTACTTTCAGTGCCTATTGGAGTAAAGTCCAAACTCATTTCTGTAATCATTAATTATTAACTTTTTTGTTTCCCCGTACAAGTTTCCTGCAGTCAGGAACTAGTCTTACTGATATCTAGCCACTCTACAGCCTCATAGTAACTTCAAACATAGTGCTGTACTCATGGCTGAGTTTACATAATTAACAAAAGGATGCTACCTATATGAAAAGATAGACTTGAAGTTTAAAAGGCCACTTGATGTTTTAATTTGGAGGTCATGGGTGGTATTCTAGAAAGCAATGTAAGTAATGTGATGGGGATAACTTTGTTGGAGAAAGGAAGGAGAGAGAAGATGGCTGAAAAGACAATTGCCAGAAACGGATAACTTAAGAATTGGAGATGGGGCATGACAAATTCATGGATTTAGGGTTTGGGATTTGCAGGTTGTGTTTTCAAGCTCAGCATCTCTCTATGAATGTGCTTAAGAATCGTTTCACAGTATTGGGAGTTAGCAGGTCAAGGTGCTCCTTCAAACACTGTGCTTGCTTGCTTTTGCCTAAACCATGGGCTTAGTAGCCCAGCTTCTAGAAAGAAGATTGATATTGAAGGCCGTCCTGGCAGCTCTGTAGGAATTCACTAAGTGCCCCACATTTTCAGGCTCCATTCCTGAGGAGCTCACAGTGTCCATATCAATTAGCTGGCAGGGCTCTGAGTCCCCCAAAAGGTCTTTTATGCAGTGGATGTGGCAGTAAGCCAGCACTGGCTCCCCTAGTGACAAACCAATATGCTCAAGTTCCCAGTGTCCATAGATACCATGCACTTTTTAGAGAGGTCTGGCTCTGAAGCCTCAGCCATCACACTGGAACTCTGTACTGCAGGAAATGCCTCCGGGATTATACCAAGAACTGGAATTCTTTCTAGTCATAATCTCTTTAATGTTATTCTACTTCTACCTATACTTTTCTCTCCTAATAATAGATAACTTTGTTGAGTATTTTTACTGTGTCTGGCACTATGTTACATGCATACTTCAATTTTATCCCCTAAAGTAGTGGTTCCCAAACTTATTTGGCCTACCGCCCCCTTTCCAGAAAAAAATATTACTCAGCCCCTGGAAATTAATTTTTTAAAAAATTTTAATAGCAGTTACTCATCGCCCCCAAATGCACCTGTGGCCATCACCGCCCCCCTGGATCGCTGCAGCGCCCACCGGGGGGCGGTAGCGCCCACTTTGGGAATCACTGCCCTAAAGATCCCATGAGATATAGGTACAATTATTTCCATTTTGCATATGAAGAGACTGAGACCTAGAGCAGTTAACTGACTTCTTGAGCTCAGAGAGTTTGTTAGTGGCAGTGAACTTAGGAAGGCTGGGGCTTGACCCTGGTGTGGTCTATAGTCAGAGCCGGTGCTCTCACCACTGTACAGTGCCACTTCTTCTTAGGTACTTTGGAGCACTGAAGCCATTCCCAGTAGGACTTCAAGCAAGTGAACTGCTCTAGAGCAAATGTAGAATTCTGAGATACTAAAATATTTTGAATTTAGCAAATGATGAGAGCCATTGTAATCTATTCCTTCCTTGCTCTCCAATTATTTCCCTATTCAAATAAGTTGTTTCAGCCTTGTATATAAGGTGCAAGTGTTTTGGGGGACAGTATTTTTTGCAAAAACACACCAAAATTTCCCAACTTTAATACTAACTTTCTGCCTCTTCATTCCATTGCCCCTTTGCTCCCAGCTGCACTGGTCACAATCTCTAAGCTAAGAGAACACAGCTGGAGCGAGCTGCCAGCAGAAAATATGTCTGGAGTTCTCCCACAGATCTGTGTTCTCATAGGAAATATAATGAAGCAGTGCCAGTTCATTGTTTTCCCAGTTTATTGTCTGATTTCCTTAAAGAGCAATATAATTACATCAATATTCTCCCTAATCTCTTTTCTTTCCCTCCACGTTACTCAAATAAGATCCAGTTTTCTTCATTCCATTTCCCTTTTTTTCCTACTGCTAGTTGTAAGTGAACTAAAGAAAGATGCAATGACCTCACTTATCAACAGAATAAAGGATTCCCTTGTTTTTGACTTGTGCTAATTAGACATCAGCCATGCCCATGGGCTAGACCCTCTTCTTTTTCTCTTTCCTCTCTCTCTCTCTCTCTCTCTCTCTCTCTCTCACACACACACACACACAAACACACACACACGTTTCTTACTAATTAGTCTTTGAGTCAATGGCCTGAGACACTTTCAGATGGAACATGATGGTCCCTCATGCAGTTGGGATTCTGGCAAGAGAACAGTCATTTAGTTGGGGAAGACTCAATGGTTTGGAACCAGAACCTTTCAGATGCAGGTTAGATAGGACTCACGTGGCACTGACTCAAAGACCCTGCTTCTCACTCAGCTCACATGCCCTACCTGTTGACATGTCTATAGTTTGTTTCTAGCACTCAGGTGTAGTTAATGCTGTTCATCTGTCACATTAAAAATCTAACTTTTTTTCATTGTATGACTGCCATGAGAATAAAATGGAAATATAAAATATCTTATATGTAATATAAATAATATAAAGTGGAAATGTAAATATCCACCTATTGCCTGGCCAAAATGTGAAAACCAGAATGTTTTGGAAGGATATCCGCTTAGTTTTGAAGGCAAACCCGTGCACACTTCTCATAGAATCTCTCACTGACTTTTGCAGCTACTTCCAGGCCAATCACCTCTTCTAGTTCTGAAAGTTGGAGTTTCTTATCTTGAAAGCTCTTATCAGTTAGCCACCCAGAAACTAATCTTGCCTAATAAGTTTAATTTCAGTTTAGGGTTTTCCAGCAATATCTTTTACTTAGGAAGGGGATAGGATTTATTGATTTTGCTATCCTTTCATTATCATACTGTCATTTCCTTCCCAGGGACACAGTCATCAGCCACTCTCCTAACACCAGCTATGACACAGCTCTCGAAGCTCGCATCCAGAAAGAGGAGGAAGAAATCTTGATGGTCAACAAGCGTTGCCTTGATATGGAGGGCAGGTAAAATGTTGATCTGGACCCCGAGTTGGTATTGAGACCAGATAGGTCAGTAGGGAAGGGCGAGCATCTTCGTTCACAGCTGGGAAACCTGATAATGTAGCCTCCCCCACCCCTACACTCCTGCCAACCTGTTACTTAGGACATGAGATGCAATGACCTTTACCTTGATCATTCCACTCACTGTGGAATTCCAAGTAGTGTTGCTTTCCCCTTTGGCCTTGGTAATTGCTTTCCATCTGCCTTCTGCCAGAACTGACCTGTTGGTATTTGCACTCTGGGGTATTCTTTCTAGCACTGTACCACAACCCTGTTATACTGCACAGTGCTCAGTAAAAGAACATCTAGTCATGCTGTACATGATGTCTCTTATAAACTCATAATCATTTACTTATTACTTGAAGGTTATGGCCCATGTATAGAAGTTCCCATCTTTTCACTGACTTCATTTCTGTTGACTCAGATTCTTCACTATAACACTCACTATATCGGTTTACTCTCATATACGGCCCTTCCCCCCGCCTCCCCCGCCCCCACCAATATTGTACTTCGGCTTCCTAAAATTTAAGCAACAACTCCTGCATGCTCTGTTCTATCCATTTGGAGGTATAGAAAGGCATTTTGAAAATGTAGCACTGTCCCTTGTCTCACAACTCAGAAATAACTAGACCACCACTTAGTCAAAAAGGTAATGGAAGTTCAAGTCCATGTAGGCAGTGAGAGTAGAACATGAAGATGGCAACAAGGTCTTTAAATGTTCTTTGTCTTTGGCTCCTAGGATTAAGATCCTCCATGCCCAAATTATTGAGAAGGATGCCATGATCAAAGTACTCCAGCAACGTTCCCGGAAGGAGCCTAGTAAGACAGAGCAGCTGTCATCCATGCGGCCAGCAAAGTCTCTGATGTCCATTTCCAATGCTGGATCGGGCTTGCTCTCCCACTCTTCCACCCTGACTGGCACTCCCATCATGGAAGAGAAGCGGGATGATAAGAGCTGGAAAGGGAGCCTAGGTAATGACAATAAATAAGGAAGATTAAAGTGACATGTTTAAGGAGAGCCCTGACTTAGCTATGTGCCCACACAGCAAGGGAAAAGAGTGATGGTCCCGATTCTAGACAGGAAGATATCGCAGGTTGGGTCCTCCTGAGAGGCTAGCTGTGAGGTCTCACGGAGACAACATTGGTTGAAGCCACGGGCTTAGAAGATAAGAATCCTGAGTTCTATTTGGGTGGGAAGGAAAACAACTTGTTTCCTCTAAAAAATTCTCATATTTGGCCTTTACCACATGGGACCTTTTGTTCATAGCCCATGTAGCCTTTGTGCCATTAAAAAATTTAAAATTTCAGCTTTTTCTGTGTTATTTTCTTCCATAAAATTCAAGGACTCAGAGTTCTAGTTAAGCTAAATGGAGCTGGGTGACAGGTTTTTGTTACCATAATGTTCTGAGATGAGAATAGAATGTACTTTTTCACTTCTTCCCTGTCCATTGCTTCCCTTCTAATCAAAACCTCAGAAGTATTTGTGATACCACGAGGCACTTTGTTAGAGCCTGAGGAAACACGCTGTATATATTTTAATTTTAGCTGTTTTTGTTGCTTCTAATAACTTTCTTGGTTCTGTGACACTTGCAGTGCCCTTTAGTTAGAGCAGGCACTTTCGGGACCATGGTCATGATTAGAACCTTAGATCACACAATTATCACATTCATCTGTGACCACAGACTTCTTTCACCGATCCTTTCCAGCTGTCTAGTATGGATGGTGTTGCTTATAGGCGGAAACAAGTAGAAGCATTCTGATAGCTCGGTGGAAATCAATCACCATTGGACAAATAAATCAAAACACATACCCAGGACACTTCAGGTTTAATACGATGTGCTGGGGCTTGGAGAATGAGAACCAAAAGGGGTCTACCAAGTCTGAAAGAAACTTTTAGACATGACAGGAAGTGCGTGACAAACTGATTTCTGGGTTCGAATGAGGACAAAGTAAAGAATTAGACCCATTCATATTTCTCCTGCACCTCCTACAAAGAAGAAGAGGTAATGAGATGCCTGCATTTGAAGAAAGTATAGTTTTCTAACCTCTTTCCCTCTTCCCTTTGTAGGCATTCTCCTGGGTGGAGACTACCGTGCAGAGTCTGTCTCTTCTACACCCTCACCTGTGCCGCCCTCGACTCCCCTGCTCTCAGCTCACTCTAAGACGGGCAGCCGAGACTGCAGCACCCAAACGGAACGGGGAACTGAAGCAAACAAAACTGCAGCTGTTACTCCAATCTCTATTCCTGCGACAGCTGCTGCCGCCACTGCTGCCGCCATCACTGCCAATGCTGCCACCAACACCACCACCATGGTAGCTGCTGCTCCAGTGGCTGTTGCTGCTGCCGCTGCCCCATCTCCAGCAGCAGCTGCTGCTGCTCTTGCTGCTGCTGTTTCTCCAGCTGCTGCTATTCAGATTCCAGCCGCTGCCTCTGCTGTTGCTGCTACTATTGTTGCTCCTGCTTCTGCTGCTGCTGTTCAGGTTGCTCCAGCTGCTCCAGCTCCGGTTCCAGCTCAGGCTCCAACTCCGGTTCCGGCTCCAGCAGCCGCTCAGGCTTCTGCTCCAGCTCTGACTCAGACACCGACTCCATCTCCAGTTGCAGCTGCTACTCCAGCTCCAGCGCCAACTCCATCTTTGGCTCAGGCTGAGGCTCCTGCAACTCCAGCCGCTGCTTCTGGACCACGGCGCTTGTCTATACCAAATTTGGCCTGTAATCCAGACAAGACAGGTAATAATGCTCTACCAGGTAGCTTTTGATTCTGCCCTCATTACAGATTTGTTTGTACCTGCTGTTTGGGCACAGTTGGTCATTTGGAGGGAGGTTTTTCATATTCTAAAAAGGATTAATCAGGCAAGATGAGGGCAGAGAGTCTGTAAATAACATCTGACACTAAGATGGGAACAGAAATGAGTCCAGGCCTTTCTCCCAGTAGAAGTAAATAAATGTTCAGAGGAACAAGGCAGGTGACAAGCCAGTCTCACCTGGCCATTGACTTCATAGGGGCTTTAAAAGCTGTCCATTTCTAGAAATTTGTGTTTTTATGTTATCCCTAAGTGTCTTCTAATCCCTTATTTCTATGTAGATGGTCCCGTTTTCCACTCCAATACTCTGGAGAGAAAAGCTGCTGCTCAGATCCTGGGACAAGAGCCTGATGCAGAAATGGTGGAATATCTCATCTAAACGGCCTAATCCAAGAGCTGCAGTTTATCAGCAAGAATGCTCTTAATCATTTTTCCCTTTTGTTGTTATTTTGAGGGTGAGGAAAAGGGATTGGGGGAATGTTTTTTTAAAGGGACTTTTTATTGAGACCTTATAGTACTTACATAATGCCATATGAACTCCAGTCTATTTTGGTGCACTTAGAGAGTACCTCTAAAGACAAGTCAATCAGAGGGTGCTCTAAAGGTTATTGTTTGGATTTCTACAAATACTGGGACTGTTAATAGCTGGATATTCACCAATGTTTTACAATGTGCTTAAAAATTTTTGGCATTTCCATATTCCAGATCATTTTTTATTGAAGAGCACAGTATGTTTGGAAGACAGTGTGTAAAAGGTAGTTCAGAAATGGGAAGCCGGAGAGAATTTGCACATGTGATGTTTTGCAGAGTTACCATCTAGGCAGCATCCAGAGAGAGAGAGTTCTTGCCTCGGGCTCGTGAAAGGGGATAGTTTTTGGAGCCATGTAAACTGGAGGGAAGGTAGGGAGTAGTGGGGTGTGGAAGGGTGCTGGAGCTAATTTTCCCTTCCAACTTCCCAGCTACCCTGTGCCAGGGGATTGTTTTTATTTTCATTTCAGTGGTGCTTTGGAAGTTGATTCTTTTGGTTCCCTCTTGGAGGTTCATACATTCATATATATACTCTGGAATAATTTATGCATTTGGGTAATTAATATATTGCTTTCAGCCATTAGGAAAGTTAAATTAGCTGAAACTTCCTCTCTCTTAGAGAGTTAGACCACCGGAGGCCTTGATGGAGAGTTGCATGAGGTGCTTGCAGAATGTAGACCTTTGTGGTCTGTGTCTAGCCATGAACAGCTTGCTTGCCTTTCCTGAGACCAATCTGCTTAGTGTCTAATTCTTCCTCAGCACAAATTCACTGGCTGTGTCACCAGTTCTCAAATTGTCAACTACTTGCAAAACGAGGAAGCACTTTTGGTGACAGGTTGAATGCTTTGAATTTCTGGTGACTACTTTGAAATAACTCATTTTGTTTCCCAAGTTCTTAGACGTATTTGACTATCACCTCCAAGGGAAAAGCATCAGAAACCCAAAGTACTATGCTGCAGTCAGGGGAGAGGTGGGCTGCAGCAGAGTCCTCAGCTACCTCTTTCATGGCCAGTGACTCCATCTTAGAATGCTTTTGGAGAGCAGCAGGAAATGTACATGTGGGCAGGGACCAAGGAGGCCATGGCTCCAAACTTTGCCTAAGGGCTGCCTCCAGGAACACAGAAGGGCTGCTCATTGCCATAGGTCCCTGCTCTGTGTCATTTATCTACCCTTCATTAAGATGATAAATCTATAATCAATGTCATTAATATCAGTTTTCAGGGGTTTGGGGGGAGGTGAGGGGATTGGGAGTGTTATGTAAGGGTGGGGGGGTATAGGTTTGGGGATATGCTAGTTAGAAATCAGATTAATAGAAGAGTAGGCCTGATATATTACATTGTGAGGCATAGTGGCTGGAAGGAATTTTTGCAATACAATAGCCCAACCCCATCATTTTAGTGATGAGGAATCTGAGACCTGGAGACTGTAAGTGACTTTTTCAAGATCATACAACACAGCTTCCCACTCTGCCAAATACCATGCTCATTTTGGGAAACATTTATGTACAAAAAGCCCCATTTTAAGAAAAGGCATCTTCACAGTCCAGAGCATATGTATTTTGTAAAATGGCCCTGGCTTTAGTAGTTTGTACAGGGTTTTGAGTTCCTATCTTGCCTTTCCTGCAGTGCCTTTTGCAAGGTTTTTCCTTTCCTGATTCTGATTTCAGTATGGAGTCACATGGGACATCTGCCCTAAAATATCAACCTCACTTCTTCTCTTGCTATGAGATTGGCTGTCTTGGATCACCTTACAGAGTTCCTCTGTAAGTATAGGAATGGCCTACTTAACAGTATTCTTGTGTCATTCCCAGTGACCTTCCAAAGGAATTATTTTGTGTGGGGGGAAGGAGGAGATAAGAGGGAAAGTGATGTGGTTTTTCAGGCAGTCTTGACATTTTTAATAATGAAGTGATTATCACACACATTAGTACTCAGTTATTTAGTGAATCCCAAATAGAAATTAAAAGTGCAGTTGTGTTAATGCTCATTCATATTACCCTTTAGTCATGGAAAAAAAAACCCTCAAATAGTAAAAGCAACAAGTAGCAAACTTCAGGACTGCTACTTTCTGTCTAAATAAATGCATAAGTAAATAGAAAAATAAACCTTTCATTTACTCCTTTCATGTTTATAACATATTGCCAGCATTTTTGCTAGCTCTGGGAGCCATGGTTTTAATTACATTTTGTAAGGTGACAAATGTCATACATTCCACACTGTGTGGCAGCCATATCTTTAGGCTCATGTATTTTGGGAAAGGAGGAAGTTCTTAGCTAAATATTATTTTGAACTTTCCACAACATCTCTTCCCCCCCTCACACCAGAGGGGTTCCCTTTTGGCTTAGTTTTTAATCCCAGGTAATTTACTCAAATACATTGTACATTTGAGAGATGGAAGAAGTCCATGTCATTGTATTATGTTTACGAAGAAGATTGATTCAGCCTTTTCAGAAGATCCCTAATAGATGACATTTTAAAATTCAGGTTTATGGGAGAAATGTCAAGGTAGCCACCTTTTCACAATTGTGTCAATGTAACACTTGGGGGATGTTTTTGGACTCCCACCTATCTATGCATTTTACTGGCACCTCAGAACAGGAAGGTGACCTTGTTGTCTTAACTTGTACTGCATGGTGGTCTCTGGGGACCTTCTAAGTCAGTTGTACTTCAACGTCCCTTGTACAGAAAAATTTCATTAGAACAAACTTTACTTGATATGAAATTCTTATTAACATTTTTTTATTAAATAAAAGTAGCTTGAGCTTTCTTATAAAATCATGTATCTTAATTGTTGTTTTAATGAAGGATTTGTTTTCAGTGCTGCTTCTGAGCTTTAGGTTGAGAGGATAGTAGGAACCTGAAATATTTGCCATCACCTGCCATGGGAAACATACTAGGAGACCCATCACATTATCTTTTTCTTGTTACACAGTTGGTTATGCACAATAATTGGAAAATGAACAAATTTACTGTGCAAACTAGTTTTTATGAAGAGCCTAAAAACTAATAATGTAGCAACTTCAAGTGTATACATATGCACTAACTCTTATACATTATATTCTCATGTCTGTTATCTCCTGTTATCTCAATTGCTCATTCACATATGGAATTTGTTACTTAAAATGTGTGCATTCTTACTGAACATGTTTTCAAAGGAAGGCATTAGCTATGGGCTAATTGCCACCAATTTCAGCCTGGCATGATCCTTGGAATATATCTTCCAAGTGCCATCCATCATCAGTCGGACCAGTGTCGGGAGTTTGTTTGTTTTTTTCTGGTAGCAACGATGGGTTATATGAAGCCTTCAACCCTACTTCTGTGGCCTCCCTTGTGATTAATGGCATGTGTTTGTAAAATGAATAGCTGAGGTTGGCAGATGGCTAGAGAAGAATCACCTTTGGTTTGAAATGTATTTGGCCTTATAATGATTAAGACCCCATTCTGTAATCAACGGAGCTAGTTCAAGTAAAATTAAGCAGGTGTTGAATCCACTCTGTGCCTATCTTTTCACTGACAATAAAGTTAGCTATTTTAAAATGCAGTACTGTGTGGAAAATGCTTTGGTGTTTACCCGACAGATGTTTTAGTTGAGCTTGTACCAGTGATTGCTTTCAATTTAGTATGCAGTGAAATTGACTTTCAAGGGCAGCATGCAGAATTTGCATTTGCTTAAAGTATGGAATGTGATTATAAAGTATTAAGACAATACCACTGGCTGCATTGGTTTCTTTATATATTCAGGCAGCATATATTAAGAGATTTGCATCTTTTTATCTCCTGGTTCCAAGGGATAAAATGATGGCCACCCAAAACAGAGAATTCATCATTTGGTTAGCATGTTGGAAGGCCCCTTGATGTTCCTTTTGTACCCTTGTTCTTATGCCAATTAATCAGTTTTGGTTGTGGAAGCTTGTTATTAAAAGCAAATCAGTACCACATACAAGTTGGCTCTTTTCACTGAAAATGTTAAAGCTGTCTTTACACTGCCCTCCTTGTGCCTCCTGTTTACCACTGAGGCCCAGCCTAACTGGGAGATAAGATCCCCACAGGCTTGGAAATGACACTTTCACAGTGAAATAAGCTTGATGTGTGTTGCAAAATAAACGGGGAGAGGGTTTAGAACTCATTCTAAATTTTACTTTTTGATTAAGGTGGGCTGCATTCCTCTTATGAGTTTAATTCGTTCTGTGACAGAGCTCGTAACTCAAATTACTCGTATGTCAAATCAAGAAGTGAACGAGTGAGACACGTGATGCAGGGCTGATGTTGTGGCGTTCACTGTGACGTTCGCTGCGCTAACTAGCAGTGGGGTATCTAAAGCTGGCTCATAACCCGAATTTTAGCTCGCAACTCAAAGCAAAAAAATCGGCTGAGAGACAGCTCGTATCTCGAAAAACTCGTTAGTCGGGACACTCGTAAGTCAAGGCCCCACTGTACTTACAAGTAGCACTTTGAAAACTGTATGTGTGAAAGCCCACTCCTCTTCTTCAGGACAAAGAAGATGGTCTTAAGTTAACCACACCTTCTTACAAAGCTTTGTGAAGCATTCCGTTCAGATATATATTGTTCCCCGTTCTTAATAAACAAGCGTTCCTTCAAAAGATCACTGTATTAGCCTTTCTAGATATTAACCAGCTTTATAACTGATGTGATTATCTGTGTGGGACTTCATCTTCCTTCCTGTGGGCCTACTCTACTGTGACAAGTGATTTGCACAGTCTATGAATTGCACAACTGCAGAAACAAACACCCCCTGCTTCCCACCTTCTCCACCTCCATCTTATCCTACAGGAGGGTTTTTATTACAGGAAAAATACTGTAAGTGATTTGATCTTAGAACACTTTCTACATTTATTGGCATTCACCCTGATATTTGAATGAAGACCTCTGAGTGACTTAGTTTCCAAAAAGGAAAACGTTTACAACCCCAGATTTTCATACCACATCATAAGTACTCACTCAGATGCAGTTATTTTGGTTCCTATTTTTTTTTTCATTTGCCTTTGCCTTGGACTGCTAGTTTCAGGCATGTGTGAGTTGTTGAATAGCTGCATATTACATGTTGTCATTATGTAAAAGGCCCTGAAGTTTAAAAAATATGTCCATGATTCTAGTTTATTAGAGAAAATTGCACACACACACATGCACATACACACATTTAAAATTCATTGTGATTGATGAATGGAAAAAGTTTGAACAAGATACAGAACAAATGCAAATAAGGGAATGATTGTTGGGATGGCACAGAGAGTATGTGTGGGGGGACTGAGTTGAGCTTTGAAGGATGTGTAAGAGTTAAAATGGTGAACTAGGAGATGGAACAAACATTCCTTGCAAAAGGGATAATATGTGCAAAGGCAATCTCATTATGTCAGTTGCAATCAAATGAAGACTATGTTTCCAAAATCAAAGACCCTAGAGAACTACTCTGAATTTTAACATCCTCATCATGGAAACTTACAAACTCACTCAGGTGGTTGACATACTGGTCCAGAAGTCAAAAGAACATGGAGTTCTGGTCCTACGTCAGCCTCTAAGCAGACATTTACTCCTGAACAAGTTCCTTAAGATCAAAGAGCTTTATCAATAAAACGAGGATAAATATATATCCCTATGGACCTCATGGAGAGGGGACAAGAGACCTTCACAAAGTGAGACTATAAAAAGATGCCAGTCCAAACAATGGGCTGAATCTATAAAGAGGAACTGTTTTTTTATTATTATTATTAAAGAAAACTTCAAACATACACAAAAACAGAATAGTGTAAGGCATTCCCATGTGTCCATTGCTGGGGGCTTCAAGTTATTATCAATGGATCAATGCTTGGCCAATCTTGCTTCATTTATCACCTCTACCCATCCACCCTCTACTATTTTGAGGCACATCTCAGACATCATAGCATTTAATCCAGACATATTTCAGTATTCATGAATATAAATTTTTTTTATAATGACAAATTTGAAGTGTTCCTCCTGGAACCAAAATATATAACTCACCAACCAAACAAATAGCATGTTTGTGCTCTGGTGCTTACAAAGCTTTTTTTTTTAAAACCTAATCTTTTGCCTTAAACCAAAACATATTTTCTCAAATATGGAGGGGTTCATTCCCCCACAATCCACATATCAAAGGGGAAGATATTTTCTTTAAAGGCACTCCAGTACAGGCTCTAAGCTATTTTTCCTCTTCCATTTGGTCATCCAACTATTTCTTGTTTTCTCTCATCGACTGATTTGGTCACTATCCCAAACTTTTGGCCTTTGAATCACAGTTGTCCACTCCAGTCCCAAATGACTCAATCAGCATCCTGGCCTATCAAGTTCGTCAACCTCTCCAACTCCACTGACTTCCACATCAGCCTGCTGTTCTCATGGCTAACCCAGACCTGGCCATCACATAGAATTGCTCCACCATGGAAATCAGATATGCCAGTACCTCACTGTCTGGCCACAGTCTGCCATCCTCCCAGTTCTCCTACTCTGACCCTATTTGTCCTTTGACTTATGAGAGACCTCTAGTCTTTTAATGCACCATTTCCTCCTACTCATTTAGCCCTGACCTACCTGATCTGACCTCATGTTCAAATACCTGAACCCTCAAATCATTAATATCCCTTAAAACCTCAACCATTCATCACAAGTCAGAAACTCATGAATCATCCTTGACACCTCCCTCTCCCTTATAGTTTATCCGTCACTGATCCTATCAAAATAAATCACAAAACCCATTCACTACTTTCTAGTTCTACTGTCAACAGCCTATTTTAAGCTAGCATTATCTTTTACCTAGACTGTTTCAATAGCATATTCACCTAACTTGATCTGCCCCTAACTTGGTCTATGCTTTTATTATATTTATTCAGCAACAAATATAATTAATACCATGTCATTCCCTTGCTTACAAGCTTACCCTTGGAATGAGGATAAAATGGGAACACAGGAGGTAAAACAATGAACCCAAAATTTGATAATTGTGGATTTGAAAGTAAAACTCAGATATCTTGGATTCTTATTATAGTAGAATCATTATCATGCCTTGTTCTAAGTATTTTTCTTATGCTTAAGAGACATTATTGGCATGGAATCATTATTTTCTCTGTTATTAACCAAGAACAGTACTTCTTGAAGTCCTATTCAAAACATCTGTATTGGAATCACCTCAGGTATTTATATAATACTAGTGGCCCGTTGCACGAAATTCATGCACATTAAAAGGGGATTAATTAGAGGAAATATTTTAATATTGCTATTTGCCCTTTCTCTATAATAGAAGTGTCAGAGATGAAAGAAAATTAGTAAAATATGAAAATCTTCATCCTGTCAGAGTCTGGGGCGCACCATGGGACCCAGAGTCAAGTCCCCGCTCACCCTCATGTGCCTCAATATCTCATGAGACCCAGACCCAGACAGCCCCCTGCCCCATTGGGCTAGATCCAGACCCGGCCGGTCCTACCCTTGTCAAGCCCCGCCGGGTGGAGAATGCAGCCTCAGGTTCCCTGGTCCAGCGCCGGGGCAGGGGGGCATGGCCTGAGGTCACCCATCAAGCCCCGCTGAGTGGGGGGTGCGGCCTGAGATCCCCTGTCAAGCCCTGCCGGGCAGGGGGGCATGGCCTGAGGTTCCCCATCAAGCTCTGCCTGTTGGGGGGAGCAGCCTCAGCTCCCCTGGCCCAGTGCTGGGAGGGGGGAAAAGCCTCAGGTCCCCCGTCAAGCCCCGCTGGGTGGGGGGCACGGCCTGAGGTCCCCTGGCCCAGGGCAAGGGGAGCAGCCTGAGGTCCCCCAGCCCAGCACTGGGGTGGGGGGCACACTTTGAGGTCCCCTGTCAAGCCTCACCAGGTAAGGGGCATGGCCTGAGGTCCCCTGGCCTGGCACCAGGATGGGGTCATGGCCTGAGGTCCCTCGTCACGCCGCGCTGGATGGGGGGCATGGCCTGAGGTCCCTTGTCAAGCCCCACGGGGGGTGGGGGGGCAGTGTCCCGCAGCCTCAGGTACCTGCTGATTGTTGTTAAGGCTTGTTACGGGAACTTGGCCTCCGATGTGGGTGCAGCCATCTTGTGTTACGGAAATCCCTGCCTCTGCTGTGGGCTCCACCATCTTTGTGGCAGAGTGATGGTCAATTTGCATATTCCCTCTTTATTATATAAGATGTACTCTCTTACCTTGCCCCTAGAGCCATGGTCGGCAAACTGCAGCTCGCGAGCCACATGCGACTCTTTGACCCCTTGAGTGTGGCTCTTCCTAAGCCTTAGGAGTACCCTAATTAAGTTAATAACAATGTACCTACCTAAATAGTTTAAGTTTTAAAAATTTGTCTCTCAAAAGAAATTTCAATTGTTGTACTGTTGATATTTGGCTCTGTTGACTAATGAGTTTGCCAAACACTGCCCTAGAGAAGCTTATCCTATAATTCTAGGGTAAAACCCAGAAATTTGCATTCTAACAAACTTCCCAGGAGTTTTAATGCAGTTTATCCTGAGACTACATACTTTGAGAAACACTGACCAAGGATTTTCTGGCATTTATCTTACTTTTGTTCTTCACTTCTC